GGTGGGATGGCAATTCGAACTTGCAACCTTCAGATTGCAAGCTGAGCACCCTAACCACCTGGCCAGATATAAATCTTAATGTACTTCTGAAGTGCAGGGTTAATGCTTGATGATACATTGTATTCCCAGACTTTGCAGGATAATGCCTCATGTCATATTGTTATGACTGTGATATAAAGCTGAACAAAAAATGTTTATAGACCAAAAAGCAAATATTCCTGATCTAAATCCCAAAGAATACCTCTGGAATCACCTTAAGTATTATGTAGTCAAAATCTACACCCCCTCTCCAATCAACATTGGGAAGCTCATGCATACTACAAAATTTGATTCATTTAAATAAGTCTACTACCAATTTGAACTAAACAGTAATAAATAATAACATACTGTTAATAAAACTAAATGATAAACAATATTTATAGAATAAGATATAGTCATAACATGTACCACAATTTAGCTTTGTTGTTAATGTGGTTGAAGAACAGTTAAATGTAACATATTTCAATTTTTTGGATTAGTGAACTTATCCTTAATAAAAACTATGTATGACAAATATAAACAACTGTGATAATGTAACAATTTATTCAAGTAAAATTAAATTACATGGACCTTATATATTTTGATGTCAATATAATCATCAACGTTCAATCTGAAAACAAAGCTAAGTTTAATAACTATTTAATTGTTATTTTTATACTTGAATTACGTATTCACAATCAAGAATAACAACAATGCATCATTCGAGCTTACAGTTTACATAACAAATGATGAACAGAAAAATAATTCATGTATTTAACCTTACAAAATAATTAAAACATTACTCTTATTAACATTGTTCAATGTCAAAACAAAAAGTAGACTAATTCACTTTTAATTTATCAAAATAAATACACTATAGTAAAGCCCTAGTATTATAGCACATCAATACTTTTCAAAGACTGTAACACTAAGAACACTTACAGAACATAAGGTATCTATAAGAAGACACCGGTCAGACTGCTGGATTAAAAGACCCTTCACCAAATCTACTGGATTTTCAAACTGCACCAAATCCCACTTGTTTTCTGTGTGTTTACCTCTTCTGGATAACTGTATAGGTTCTTCTTCCTTGTTACCAATGCAAATGTCATTTTGTTTTTATTTTAATATAATCATGTTTTTATAGCAACATATTTTATGAAAATTTGCTTCACAGAAATAAAAATAAAGAGTTACTAAAATGTACAATAAATTTTAATGGGGAAAAAAAATGAAGATTAAAACTTAAAATGCAAAATATAATAAGCTGATGATAAAAAAAAAATCTATAAATTCAAAATTAATGTTTATGTAAAAGAATTAGAAATTGAAGCAAGTTTAACTACTAATGCAATAAAAATTATTAGTTGGTTTTTATCACATACACTAAATCTAAAATTAGGTTCATAAGCTCACTGTAAGCAAGTTTCAAAAGTCATTGTTAAGTTAAACTAACTTCATAAACTAAAATTATTTTTAATGATGATATTTAAAACTTTAAATAGGTCAGAAAATATAAAGCAAATATTTTGGTTATTCATCTGCAGTTAAACTCCATTGCATGCTGTGCACGTGCACTTATCAAATGCTCTTTAATTTGCATATATTCTTTTAAGTAATATCTTCTGTATGTTTTACATCTACATAATATGCCTTTTATCTATAAATGTCAATTTTTGTGTGATTTATTTTGCACAAGATTTTCTTTAAATTTGCTTATACATGTTCTTACAATCTGTAAAAATCCCTAACTGTTAATGGAGTATAAAATAAAAATGATGGACCAAAAGAGGACTGTTAAAAATACAATTTCTCATTAACTTTTTTGCATATACAAAAATTTGTTTTAAATTAGTTGAAAGTTCTTGGTATGGGCACGCTTGAATAATAACAGTAAAAAACAATTATCTAAACAAACCAATAAAGATCTAGTTTATCATCAAACTACACACTATCTAGTTTTACATCTTTCTTGTGTGTAATAATGACTAGCAGACGTTCTTTCATACATGCACACACACACAAGAGAACTTTAGAAATTTTGAGCTCATGATAAAGAACAATTTAAAAAATAGTACATCATAGAAATTTATTAGCACTGGTTTCAAGGGATGTAATAACTTTTATATGTGGTACAGTTTTTCAGAATATATTTTATGAGAAATGAAGAGAAAACATCTTGGAATAAACAACTTTAAGAAGGGTTGTTCACAAAATAGGATTTTAATTAATTTCAAGGTAGTCTTGAATATCTCCAAGGCACTAAAAATTACACATCAGAGCCTAACATTTTTTCTCTCCTTTTGAAAAAAACCTCACCCATGACAAACCAAGCACTGTATTAAACTACCAATTGGGTAAAGCTGCTGAAAAGCAAGTATAGCATGTGTGTGTATATGTGTGTGTGCACGTATTTACTGCAATTTGGTAACACATACTCTCAAATTTTACAAAATTTCTGCTTTACTCTCTAATATTTTAATAATTAATTTTCTAAATTTTAAACTCTGAAGAGTTTGAGCTAAATTTTTCTCCAAGTGTTAGAAAAAACTTAAAATAGTATTCATTTACAATTTCATATTACGCTTACTAAATATGGTCACAAGTTAGTTATGACCAAATGAAACACTGCGACATGTAATAAATTCAAAGCAGTAATAATAACTGGATAATCTTACAGGAGGCATCCATTTTCCCAGACAATCCACATCACGAATGTAGGCATGGTAATGACCACCATGTGAGCTGCCACTGTGAACAACAGAAGTTTACATTTGAATATAACAACTACATACAATTATTGTGTTTTGAAATTATTAAATATCAAAGATCAAAACACATGCTGAAATCACAACTATATAGGATTGAAGTTGAGTGTAGATGCTAATTGTAGTGTAGAACTTAGTGTAGATGCTAATTTAAAATGCTAGCTGTCTAGGAAAAATACATTATAAAAACTAAAAAGTTCAGTTTTCAAATACAAAACTTTGTGTTTTTTTTGCTTCAAACATTTCTAAAAAACAGAAAATTGATCAAGTATACAGTCAAAACACGGATACACAAAAGCGAATTTTATAGTATACTTGATTAGTTTCATTTTGGCTTTTTCTCTTTCAATTTTTATTGATAAACATTTTCAGAATTAGATGATATGAGAGAAACTCAAGAAATATGTATATAACACAGAAGATAGCTAGAAATTGGTAGATGAAAATGAATTTAATGACATCACATAAAATCTCACCTGGATGGAGATACATTTATTATTGAATAGAATTATTTATTTAATATTACTTCCTTAATTTTTCTCTTAATGTCTTGCAAGTTGACATTATAGTTGAAATTTTTTTGCATGTTCAAAAAATAAAAGTTTCTACAGTTCTGCCTGTTTCTATTATATAAGTTGACTGACAGTTATTACACTGAGTGTGGTATACTGATATATTATATTGTTCCATACTGTCTTAAAGCCTAACCAGTAAACTTATGATTTTTTAAGTACTCAAAACCACATATTAAACACAAAGGTTTGCAAGTTCTTTATAACTAATAATTTCAATGTATCATTTATGTTTACACTTGAAAACAAAAAAATGTATAAATATCTTGATTTCTTAGCTATCAGGCTTTCTCAAAGAATGAAAGAGGATCTAACAATTTATTAAACAACAATTACAAATTAAATATCCAGCACAAAATTCAATAGTTAGGCCTAAAAAATATAATATATAGTTTTTCTTCTTGACCTTCCCTAATTTTTATTACCTTTCTACCTACCCTAACTTTTTTCAGTAATTTTGTTCTCTTACAAGACAAAAAATAGCTTTACACTTTAATTTGGAAATATCCAAATGAAATAAATTCCTACCTACCAACCTATTTTACGTGTCAGGAAACAGTAACCACACATTTGTTTAGGCCTTTTCCATTGTATCATTATTTTGTGATTCCTATTCAATAAATATGTTATATATGACGTAAAGAAAAACTTCTGAAAGAAACACATATTTTATGTTATCAATAAATACAAATGTAACACAATCACTTTAAAAAACAATTTTTACCTGTGTATTAAAACTGAAAAAAGTTCATAGTGTGTAGATGCATTATCATCAGTCTTCCGACTCTAAATTAACAAAAAAAAAATAGATAGATTACAAAAATTTAGGGTATTATGAATGGGTCTTACTTTAATTAAAATATTCTGAAGATTACTCTTCTTTATATATTAAAAAATAATGAAAAATTAAAGTAATCTTATCTTAAAGTTAGTTTATGCCAATTTGATAATACTGACGGTAAAGATGCTATGAACTGTATCTGCCACGAGTTTACAGAGGAGGATATATCAATCTCTGTACTGAAGTCTCAAGAGAGACAGATATGTATTCCATAGAAAATTCAAAGCTAGAATAATTCCAATTTAATGTAAAATTCTGCACTGTTAATACACACATGCTTTCATTGAAATATATACAAAATCTTGTTGATCTTAAGAGCTATTTTAGCAAAAACTAAATATTCAAAGTTAACCAGCTACACATTAATTTCTTTAATTTGATTTTAAATAACAATAAGTTCATCAATAAATACATCAAAATCTACAGCAGAAACTTTCATCACTTAAGTTTTAACTAAAATATTCCTTCATGAAGAAATTATTTAAATTCCACGTTGTCTTGTAAAATTTCCCTCTCTTTCATTAATAGTTATATTTAATCTAAAAAAAACAATGTAGTAAAAACAAAACTACTGTACTGATTTCAAATAGGATTAATATATTAGGTTTCTTTCATCACTAGAATGCTTAATTATATGATATAATAAAAATACATAAAACTGTAAATTTTTTTTTTCATACAATATTATAAGCCTTATATACAAGTAACAATAATACAAAAAAAGTTGTTTGAAAGTTATCACAACCGGAGATCTGTGTTCAAGTGGTTGATACACACACAACCTGCTTTATAGTGAGAAAGTTATTAAATTCTTGCAATGCATTCATAAGGATACATGTACGTGTTTAAAGATTACATTTCAATGTACTGATGAAAATATGCATACATGCAATGAAACAGTCTAAGAACAAGCTCATTAGACTGATTGTTAATAGTGTTTTTAAAGCTATTAACAGTTTATGCCAATGTTTATGAGAATACTGATGGCAAATATGCTATGAACTGGGTTAAACTTATGACTGAAATTAGCTTTTAAGTACTTCCCTACTGTTAGTCTTCTTAGGGTAAAAAAAAAGGTTCTACTGAGTTGAAAAGCAACATCTTTTACAAATCCACATGTTAGAGAATTGGTGTAAGTTAACAAACAAATATGCCACTCTCAGACCCATGATAGCAAAAAATGATCAAACTATAGTAAGTTTTAATTTTTGATTGATACTCCTGCATCTTGAGACTGTAATGTTTAATGATTAACAAGATACCTAAAAAGGAATAATCATAATTAAAATTAAAAAAAATATTAACACGTTATCACTTTGTAATACATAAACACTAAATTAAACTTAGAGTAATAAAAGCAAGTTCTTTCCATAGTAGATTAGTGACAGCTTAGTAAGAACACAATACTAAATTTTGTATGGGCTAAACTAAAAGATATACTGTGGACTTTGTTTGTTTTGTTGAATTTGAGAACAAAACCACTTAATGGTTACCTGCACTAGCCATTCCTAATCTTGAAGTGATAGAATAGACAGAAAGCAGTTAATCAACACTAACTCGTGGGCTACGCTAATTGAACAGTGGGATTTGATCATCTCTTATAATGCACCCTAAACCCCACCAGGTGGAGCAAATTTTTTTACTTTTCTTTTTTACAGTAACAGGGCACGAAACATGGAGCTTCAGATTCACAGTCTAACATGCTACTCACTAGTCTGTACTTGGCCCCATACTGTGAAATACATGGAATTGCACAATGTTATTGTTTTAAATTCTGAAATGTGTACAAAATTTTAAAACTAGTTTTTAACACCTTGTCTGACACTTGGTATTACATGAAAGCATACGACTCCAATTATACAATTAAATTTAACACATATCAATCTTCATGATGATGGGGGAAGAGGAAGAAAAAAAAAAACACTCAGACCTCTTGGAATCAGTTCTGTTTAAAAAAATCTTTGCATTTTTATGTATTTAAAATAATTGTGGATTTATTTTAATAAATTCAATCTTTTCTTTCCAAAGCTTAGCTTGTTTTTCAGTTGTGTAATTCTTTTAGAACATGTTTTCTAGATCCATTATTATGCTGTTCCTGCAAAAAACGTTTTCAGAACAAAAAAGAACTACATGACATATTACTTCTAGTTCCACAATATTATTGAAAATAATTAAACTTCTTCACATTTTTCTTTACCTTTAGATTGCTTATTCAATCTCTCAACAGAACTAGTATACTTTTTAAACACTTGAGGATTGTTACACAAAATTACCTGAAAGCTTGTACAACATATATTAATACAGGTGAAATATAGTATGTTATAAACTTATTATGCATGAATATTAGATCAATGATAACAATATTAAAAACAGAAAATAATTCTCAATTGAGTATAACTAAAATATAAACAAACCTTTTCACAATAAGGTGCCATGTCAATTTCTAAAGGAAATGAAAATGTTCCTGTTTCCTAATAAAGACAATTAAAAAAGTCAACTGAAAAACATTAAAATAAAAATGTCATCAATTCACACATCAATAAAATTGTAATACTGAAAAATCAGTAAATCATAAACTTTAAAAAAAAAAATTTCAATTCTTGATATTACATCTGGTTTCTTTTAGATCACATGTAAAATGCCTGGCAAAAACTAATTTGCAAAAAGAGAAAAAACATTTTCTATGTTACAATCTATATGTGACAGGAAGGTTAGTGAGAATGTATTTAAATTACTTTGTAAGCACCTTTAACTTTATAATTACTAGTTTCAAGTGTGGATAATAAAGTGTAACATTAGTGTATAAAGTAATGCTTATTATTGTTTTCTCAGCTTTTGCATCGATTTTGCCATAACTTTAAGGTTACTTCATTTCTAGGTAGATTTCTGATAGGAAACCTTGTTACATAATACTTCATTAATCGAACACTGCTAAACCATCACCTTCAAGAACTCTCTGTTATCATACAAATGGGTCTTTAACATAGCTTGGTAGATAATATACAAAATGTTAAGCATTGATTTTACACATTTAAACAGCTCTAATCACAAAAAAAACCCATAAATGCCACTACTTTTTAGTTACATATTGAGAAAAATGTTTAACCCTATGCACACAGCTAGATCAAAGTGCACGTCACAAACTTTTACAAAATTAGATTACGTCAATACACTTGGCATCAAAACATTGATATAATTCAAATTTTAAGATAAGTTTTAATTTCTTAATTTCAAAGGGACATGTTTAAAAACAATTTTTAATCTCCACTTCTGTGTATCACATGACACTTCTTGGCTCCAAACTGCCCATTTTAGATATTCTTTCCACCACTATTTGAGCTTCTGAGTTTTAATACAAATTACAAACTTATACATATTGGTGTGACATATAAAATAATTTTACAGCATCCAATCTTCTTGCTTTACCAAGATGTAAACCAGAAAGTCACTTATTATACCCTCTTATCACATACTATCTTGTAAAAAATGTCAATAATTCTCTCTGACATTTACTATATTACATTACTTATAATCAGCAGAAAGAGAAGATTTCAATTTACTGATTTATGTGTAAGAACAGCTCATTCTGTTGACAGTTTTTGAATTATATCCTCAAAATTCAAAGTTGCTATCACCAAGTTCAAATCGACCAGGTAAGGAAATAATTAATTTTAACACACTTATAGCTAAATTAGAAATCCAATTAAAATAAAATAGTTACAGGACATCGTGTTCTTTGTGCATGTTATGATTTTGTTTTCTAAATTGAATTTTTGAAACATTACTGAGATACTAATAAGAACCCTATCAAAAATTAGTTATCTTTTATTAAATCTTTGATTCAGAAAGTTCAAGATCTATACATAAGTACTAAATTTCTTGTTTTTTTTATGTATATTGTTATAAAGGTATCTAAGAAAAACTTCATGAAAAATTTGATTTTTTGTGTACAACATACTTCTAATGTTTACTAAAAGTTTACCAAATTCTGTGAAGATACATAATAAGCATTGCTTTGTATATTGCACAGAAACAGGGTTGATAAAATGGACTCACTCAATACACATGGGGTTAAATATGTAAAATAATTAGGCTGACATCAAGAACTTCAATGTAAATAACAAGTTATCTATTTTTACATGTTAACTTCCATGTACATGTAAATCTATAATGAGTTTGTGGAAACCTCCTAATGGCTCTGCATAGACATTACCAAAAATATGAGATAAAACCAAATTTATACCTTTATTCTTTCTCCTTTTGAAAAGTCATAATTGAATCTCAATAAGGAAAAACTCAGGATCTGTGGAAGTTTGAGTATCCTGGCACCCTATGAAAATTCAGTTTAGAATAATCATTTATCTTATAAAGGTGAAACACAAATAATCTGACCTAGGTCTAAACCCCTAGCACACTTGTTTAGTTTTTTTGTATTTAAAAGTAACACATATATAAATTATGTTCTACCCACTTATCTTTTAAGAAAATAATGCTTTACCCTTTAACAAAACTTTTTTCTGGGGTAAAGCAGGAATGAAGTTTACAAGCTGCTTGGTTATACAATATTATAAAATTACCAAGTAAAATTATTTCAATTATATAATCACAAAAAACTAAATAACACTAACTTTAATTTATATTACCTTTCAATCAAAATCTGAGCAAAACCCAATATAGATATTCATATTTGTGGCTCAGTTACAAACTAATGAATTAAAACATCAATTATCAAGTTTCATATTTAAAACACTTTCTAATCTTTGTGATTAATAACTTCTGTGACTAGAATAGTTATTTCTAATTCAAAGTTATACTGAAAAGAAACAACTGTGTTTCGACAAAATGACTTGGGTCGCCCATTCAGAAATGTACACCTGCTGTACCGTTGTTTTGAGTTCAATGTATAAATAGACTGGATGACCTACCAAGAAATTTAAAGTTTTTATTAAATAATATTTCCACTACATCAGAACTACCAGTCTATCACATATGTAGTTTTGTAGTACTTTAGAAGTCATTGCAATGTATATAGATACATACATATTTGCAATGTAAAATAATTTAGTTATTATAGGGTAAAAAGAATATTGGGCTAGTAGAATTTAAGTTCATTTAGTGGAATTTGCTAATTGATTAATCATTGGACTCATTAATTGATTAAACTCTGCTAATCTATTATCCCTATGCATAAGAAAGGGTAAAAGTGTGCACGTCATGACCTTTTTACAGAGTTGCAATCAAAATTTAATTAAACTACTTATAAATTTGGCACTAAACTGTAGTTTATAATTTAAATTGGTATACTATTCAAGTTTCATATTCTGAATTTTAAGAGGATATATTTCTCATTCTTCACCTCTGTCACATGATGTGTTTGCACTCTCACTTCTAATTTATGGATTCCCTCTCTCTTCCCTCATATGGGTTTCAGTGTGTCCAAATAAATAGAAACACATACTATAGGTACTGATGAGCCTGAATATAAACTTTGAACCTCCTATCTTCTTGCCTTACTGGAATATCACTATATTTCAACCCACATGACACCCCCCCCCCATCTACCTTTAAGATATCAACTATTCTCTGACAGTACTATTAGACATGTTTATAAGAATGTTTCTTTACGAGATTTCTTATATAGTTAATTCGTTTTGGCAGCTGTAAGTATGCAATATAGTTTGAGATTCAGTGTGTGCAATCATTGGTGTTCAGCTCCAAACACCTAATGTAATTTTTTAACCTATGTGTAGCTTACATAGAAAGCCAATTAAATTGTAGTAGTTTTGGGACAACTTATCTTAATGCTTGATGTATTTTTTGAGTTCTAAAATACATTTCTAAAAGCAGCATGAATTTTTTGGTGGACAACCAACAGTGTGAAAAAAGTAGCAGTGTTAATTTCAGATGGTGTACAAGGGAGGGGAATTATCCCTTATGGACCCCCCCCCCCAAATATTTTAACTATTTTGTCCTTTCTTTTTTTTACAGACAATATTTTTCATTTTTGTACAGAGAGATGATAACAACCAACTGAAATTCATGATGCATGAGTCAGGATTTACTATTACTTCATTGAACACCTCGATCCAACAATTATACAAACAGAGTAACGCAAAATTCTGGTGACTTTTTGAAAAAAGATGAGTTTGGCCTCGACAGCTAGCCAATGTCTATCATTAAAAGGAGAGACTTGTATTAAAGAATCCATTGTTAGAGTTAGATAGTATAAGCTAAGCATAGATTTATTACTGAACAATCTTCAAATTTCTCAAAGTGTGTAGACACTATTAGACGTGTGGATGTTTCTAGAAAAACATTTCGTGCTTCATAAGCCCACGTGGAAACTATTTGTAGAGTAGTGTTTGTGTTATTTGGTTGTTTTGTGCATTATTTATTGTTGTGATTTGAACCTTTCTGTGGCAAAGTAAGTCACACAAATCAATTCTTTAGTTTGTTACAAAGACACCTAGACTACAGGTAGTAAGTAGTGGTGCTGATGCTGAATCTTTGGGTTAAACTAAAGTTTTGGAACCATACCAGTGATGTTGATTTGACAACCCCTGATGCTGCAACTTCCTCACCCTCTTTATGGGCTTCAGTTAAATACCAAAAGAAATGTGAAGAGAAATATGAATGGCTGTTTTTGGTACATCCTTTTGAAGGGGCACTTTGCAAGCACTGCTGAGAATTTTTGAAATATTATTTAGATGCACTACATAGAACAGGTGATGTTTTCAAAACAACTTCATTTAATAACTTTCAAAAAGCAACTGGGAATACCAGGAAACTGGACAAACATTCTAAATCCAAGAAATATACTCGTGCTCAAGCAATGCACAAGTTTTGTGAAGAGGGTATTAAAAGATTGGTTCATACTTGCTCAACATCGACTCATGAATGTAGTTGCAATGGGGAAGCAATGGCTGCATTTGTGAGAAGCATCTACTTCTTAGTAACTACAAAGTATGAACATTTAATTTTTCATCTTCTTATGCTACAAGACGATGCTCTGAAGCAATGGGTGGAAAATCAGAGCAACTGTTCGACATATGTAAGCAAAGCTACAGCTTGCGATCTGCTGAAATGCATTGCCAAAGTTCTAGATAATTGTGACATCTCAGAATTGAATAACAAATATTACTCTATAATGGATAACAAATTGTCAATATCAACAATGTGAGCAATTGTCAATTTTCATTTATCATATGACTGACTGCAGTGAAGTAAAAGAAAAATTCTTGATCATTACTGATCCAACAAGTAACGACTCCAAAACCATTATGAATTCACTTGACAGAGTTGATGAAAAGGAACCTGGGTTATAAGAAAATAATTTCTTGCACTTTCAGTGGTGCCACCAATTTTTCAGGAAAAATAAGTGCTGTGCTTAAGCGACTTTCAGAGAAAGCAGGAAAGGAAATTTCTTAGGCACATTGTAGGGCTCGTCTTTTATCTTTAGCCTTAACCAGCACTAGAAATAAAATTGTGTCTCTGAGGATAATTCTTCAAACACATATATTCACTATACCACAAGTCATCGAAGCATGAACATGTGTTGCATGAGGTTCAGAGGTCATTGGAATAACCTGAACTAAAAATTCCAGAATCAGTCTAAGTGCACTGGCTCAGTAATTACAAATTTGTTCATGACATCTTAACTTGTTAGTGCTCAATTATGAAGGCCTGTCAGCACCTACACAAAGGTGGTGCAGCTTTAGCATCATTAGCAGGAGCTATCTTGCTGGAAATGGAGAAATCTAGTTTTCTTGTTATCCCAGCAGTTTTGGATGAGGCTTTATATGCAGTATCTAATATCAGCAACTCTACTGCTATAGTTGTTGTAGATCTCAAAACAAAGGCTTTTGGTGTGTGGTCAATTCTTGAAAATAGCCCAGAAAATCAAACTTTCAAAAAAGTTAAAAAATTTTTTGATACTATGATTGAACAAATACAGCACTGATTCAATGATCAGGTGGTCTCCCTCATCAATGTACGTGCTTCCTTCTAAACTGTCCAGTCAATGTGCAGTTTGACATATAATGATGTGAAGAGAGAATGTAGCTTCTTTGATGGACTGGATGATGTCATGTTGACTGACTTAAACTCTTTCAAGGGAGCAAGAAGATTAAGATTATAACATTGTGCATTACTTGTGGAAAGCAAATATCGGTTACAAAAATCTTAAAATATTAACTGAATGTCTGATGGTGGTGCTAGTGTGACTGTTGGAGCTGAGCGTTCTTTCAATGGCATGAACCATATTTTAAATAAGCTGAGAAACCAGATGGGACAAAACATTCTACAAAGTTGCATGTAGATTAGCACTGAGGGGTCTAATGTACTTTGAGACATTTTGTTGTCAAGGGTTGTTGACTTATATATTGAAAAAAACCTGAGACACATTCATTTTCTCTACAGTAGCTACAGTGAACCATCTGAATGTATTTTTGGTAATTTTTCTTTTTTAAATTTGTAAAAAGTACATTTAAATATCATAACCAATAATAATAAAATATATCATTGTAAATTTTGGAGTCAAGTATTTTAAAGTACAGTATTTTCCATTTTGTTGAATTTTAATTCCTCCTCCCAGCTTCACATTTCATCCTCCACTGGTGAAAAGGTCTGGATTCAACACTTACAAAGTAGTCTTATCAAACTCTTGAGTACAATTAGATCTCAAAAATAATTGTTTTTTATTTATTGCCATACATTTTTAACAAAACTAACTAAAATGTAAAAATTAGAAACTTATTAGGTTAGATAACAATAATTAAATGATAAAAAAATTTCTAGTGATCACTTGTTCACGTGGTTTGAGGTTACATGATATAATTTGATAAAATTTTTTACCCTAAATTCTCTTGCTGAAATTTTTATTGATTATTTTATATTTATTATATCACTGAGAGAGAGACTAAGAAAAATAAAATCATAATATTAAATGAAAGTAGACGTGAAAAGATTAGAAACTGAGGCTGTTAAGATATATAATTATAACTGTCTGTTACAATCTGTTGCCATGCTAGAATTTATTTATTTTTTGTATTTTTCAACTTTTCATTTCACTACAGTTAGTGTTTGGGTAGAAAAAATAAAAGATATTAGTATAAAATTTTACTAAAAAAAATTTTTGGTATTTATTTAGGAGATTCTAGAAGTTATACAAATGATATATGAAAACTTTAAAATGAAAAGAAGCATTTTTGTTCTAAGCATGAAAATCACCTTTCACTCAAACTGAATCAGTAAAAGCTTCATAAATTCACAAACAAATCCTTAGTAAGTGTACTTTATTGAAAAATAAGATTTTTTGTGTACAATAGACCATTACTATTTATCAAAAGCTCACCAAATTTATGAAGATACAACTACATTCAGAGTAATAGTATATGTATAGTTTCATGTTTAAACAATGGTTACAAGGTTGGTCAAGTGGACTTAGCCCATATGCACAAGATAACTCTCACATGAGACTTGGATAGTTGGAATAATGAAAAATATGATAATCAGAAACATTAATCTTCATAAGTTAATTACCTTCATGAATTATGACACTAATCAACTAAACTAAACCACCTTGGATTAATCAAAAATAATAATGGCAATATTTCAATTACTTGAATAGTTGAAATAATGGAAAATAATAATAATCAGAAACACTATTTCCAATTAGTCAATTATTTTTGTAACATTAATATTTATGTGACACTAATTAACACAATTGCTTGTTTGTTTTGAATTTCGCGCAAAGCTACACGAGGGCTATCTGTGCTAGCTGTGCTATTTAGCAGTGAAAGACTAGAGGGAAGACAGCTAGTGTTCACCACCCACCGCCAACTTTTGGGCTTCTCTTTTACCAATGAATAGTGGGATTGACCGCCACATTATAATGCCCCCACGGCTGAAAGGACGAGCATGTTTGGCGGGATGGGAATTTGAACCCGCGACCCTCAGATTGCGAGTTGAGCGCCCTTACTACCTGGCCATGCAGGGCCTTAACGCATTTGATGCTCACAGTTAATCGGTTATATAAATTAATCAAAGTAATTGCAAAGCTCTACAGATTAATACATTTCTCTTGCCTACTAGACTGTGAATAGTACATAAAAAAAAACGTTTTATACCCCTAAGATGGAGTGTTAATTCTCAACATAATTTACACCAGGTCAAAAAAAGAACAAACCTTCTTAGCATCCACTAACTGGTTACAGCTGCTACAATAATACTGATTTTTTCCTTTCATTAGTTCTCTATGAAGATAAGTGTTGTTCAAGCTATCTTGTAGACTTGAGTATCCTGTAACAATCACATTCAAGTCCAGAAAGTCTTCCTGTAATTAAAAGTTTACAAATGTAATTTTACTGATAAAGTTGCAAAATAAAATCTTTTAAAATATCCACCATAAATATAATTAAATATACCTCCTGTTAACTGTAAGTTTAGTTTATTTCTAGATAAAGTAAAAGAATAATTTTATTTTCAAACACATATTTAAGAGCATCTTCTGACCACCTATGGAAACTTTAAAGAAAACAAGCATAGTAAAAAATCCTACTATGGAAGGTTTTTACAAGAAGTTTTACAAAACTTGGATATCTGAATAATACAAGATACATACAAATTAATATCTTTAACCCTAGCATTACTGATGGGATCAATATTGATTGGCTTTTGAAATTTGAAAACAAACATTCTGAACTATTTAAGCATTGTAATGGTTGTGGTCCATGACTTTCTTTTTACAAAATATAGTATACAAGTCAAACAAAAAATATAGGTAAATAAATCACAAATATTACAGTTAATCCAAACAATTACTGCTGAGGTACCCTTTATGCATAGAAAATTATTGACTTCACTCAATTTACTTTGGTAAACTTTTTACATTTAGAGTTATAACACATGAAAATGTAAAGTTATATATTACATTGCAGTAACTTGAAGATTGCACAAACAATAAACTCACCTCTCTCTCACTAACTTTTCCACAAAGCTGACAAGTTATCTAAAATATTAAAAAAATTATACAGCATAAACACAATGGTACATCTTCACAAATAATTAACATAAAATAGTGACATTTTATCAAATCAATACTACAGTAAACATTTTGCACCTCATAAATTGTATACGTTTTCCCACTGATGAAAACTTCTTCCACAGCTTTGTATCAATTATGGAATTAAAAAAAAAGAGGGGAAATCAACATCTTAAACTGACTTACTGTTAGTTTTACATATAATTTCAACAGTGATATTGATCTCAACTGTTTCTTTATTTTAATTATCTTAATGTTGCTGGAGATCAACAGAAACAAGGAAAAGTACTCGAAGAAAATAATAAACATTAAACAAGATACTCTGTGGTACATGAACCACTGAACTTGTGTATGTTAAACTGTTAATGATTTGTTAAAAATAAACACCAATTAATGGAGCTATTTTATTACAAACTTTGACCTAACATCTTTTGAAAATAGTTAATAAGTAGTATGCTGAATTATCAGTGTTTATAATTCTACAGTCAACCAAGTTTTAGAATGAAAATTTCATTAACAAGTATTTAAGTCATTCTATTTTACACTCTAAGTTAAAAAAACATAAAACAATAATGTATTGACTTTTAATGTTTTACAAAATTATTCAGACATATAAAATTTAACTGATTAAGCTTCCTCAACATAACACAGTTTATAGTCTTTTTAAAATCGAACACTGCATGATGAACTTTTTAAGGTTTTACAAATGTTTTACAACACAACATACAATTTCTGGGGAAATGAGGGAAATTGTGAAACTTAATATCCAACATGTATTCACATGTACTTTGTTTACAAAATGATAAGAAATTTAATACCTCCAAAAATTACATTAAAAATGCCAATTACACCTATTGATTCTCACTTATACAACAGAAAAATAAAAAAAAAGAACTTCCAGTTAGAAAAGGAAACAAGTTCAGCTTTGTTAATGGTGGCCAAAAGTCCAGATTTACATAAATGTAAAGAATTTCAACATAAAAGTTCATATAAAAGTAAATCTGGCCTTCCCTGGCTTTGATGTAAATTTAAACACCAATATATAACAAATATTTCTACAAAGTTTAATCAATTCTATTGATAATTATATGAGAAATTTACAACACATAAACATTATTTGAGCATTTAAAAAAACAAAAAAACTTCCCAACATGTGATTCAGATGACTATTTCCAATACCATAGCTTAACAGCAAGTCCAATCATTCACCACCAAGAACATTTAAATGTATGACAAATACAAACTGAATTATGTGATCAACTCAAACCTTTTGAAGTTCCATGGCTCATCTGTAAATTTGTAGGACTCGCAAGTCAGCTTTAAATGTTCAAAATATGTTCTATAACAAACTTACTCAATGATTACTAACATTAAAAACTTTCTTACAGAAATTTTGACAATCCCAGTTTGTTTTATCATACAACCATTAACGTTATCCATGTAAACAATAAATATAGTTGGATGTATAGGCTCGAGTACATGAAATACGTGGCTGAACGTTCTTCCTGGATAAGACCTAATACATGTGATGAACAACATAAAAGCTTATTATAGGTTTTAGTTTGCAAACCAGGTTAGTATAGAATATTAAGTAAGTGGAGAAAGAAGAAAGATCAATGAAAACTAGGCATTTGAAAAGTAATAAGAATACCTTATCATTACAGTAGTGAAAGGACATCTGAATTTTAAACTTCTATCCAATTCTTCATTTTCAAAATGAACAAATGATTTTATAAAAAGTGCAACAAGTTCCAGATGCAGAAACACTGTGCAATAGTGAAAAAGACCTTAGCAATATAAAAACACTCACTGAGAAACAAAACAAATGCAGCCTTAGCAAAACAGGAAGATGATTCAAACACCAAAAACAAAGATTACAAAAGGAACTTCAGAAGTAACTAAAAGTATACTAAAAGACAATCGTAAAACCATAAATATAGAACTGGTGATTAATCATGAGAATTATGAAACCTGAAGTTTAGGAAATATTTTTACCATTAGGATTCAAAAACACTCTCTAACAATACTAAAACAAAGAGTATTTTCTAAAAGAATACATCATTTTCTTACAAATTCACTTTGCAAAATTTTCAACTGAAATTCTCAATCAAGGATTTAAGTCATACAATTGTACTAAAAGAACCTATTAAAATTATGCTGACAAAGAACAGGGAAGAGAAAAGATAACTCAAATACTAAGTTCTCATATGCAAAATCCCAGAAATATTATGTGTACAATACAAAAAAGCACACAATACTTGACTAAGGTTTATTTGGAACAACAGTCTAAAAATATACAAGTGCCCCACAAACTGTTATGTTTACTAAGAAACCTAGAGTAGCATATATGGGAGTTAGCTCAAACCTAGTGTCATGAAGTCTTATAGGAAGATGCGCAAAGGATCAAAATATTCTGTGTGAAGAGACGAAGTATTGTTTTTGGAAAAATAATCTTTCTGTCTTTGATACAGTGGGATCTATGCTAGAAAAATTATTTTAAGCAAACAAAATACTTTTAAATTATTCTAATAAATATTAATCAATGAAAAGTAAATAGAAACCTGATTAACAGTTGATCCATGATACAGTTGTGAGATCAAGTGATTCCCTGAAGTTCCAAATAATGAGTTTTCTATTGCACAAAACAAGATCCTGTTTAATTCTTGAACATCATGTTGTTGAAGTTCCTGAAACAAAAAATTAAGCTGACCACCAAAATCATTCTTTGTGTACAACAAACAAGTACTTAATGTCAATGCCTATGAAAACATTTAACCCCTTTTAGTTTCCTGTGCTGAACATTTTGTTTATGATTTCAAAGTAGAATTCACCGAGTTTTGACATCATACTCTTTAATCTTTTAGTAGCACTCAAATATCAACTGCGCAACATTTTTAGGTCTACTGCTCTCAGTTATCTATTTCATTGATCTTGATATACAAACATCGAAAGCACACTTTAAAGATATTTAATGTTCAAAACTTATTTGGGATAAATTTTAGGGCTTCTCTAACATTCCCTACTTTAGTTTCTCTGGGATAATAGGGAGGGAAACCTCTTGTACAAATGAAAAAATACACATAGTTGATAGTGTTTTGTTTTTCAAGTTTATTATGACCAAACAGTGATACACAGCTGTAGAAATAAAGCAGTGACTATGGAAGAAACTCAAGAATTTATCAAAAAGCTTCTGGTAAAGCACTTTATCCTTCTGAATATATGCAATAGTTACTTGACTATCATTTGATATACACAAAAATGATAATACTGTCTTGAAAAACTCTATATATATACATGTATAATCACTACATTATATATTTTTTATTATCTCACATTACATTACGCATAAAATGTAGGCAATGAAACATACACATAGACTGGAAAGTATATACCCCATCTGCCCCATATTATTCAATTTTACAAATCAAGGTCAGTAATGCAAGAATATTTCATGACACAAAAGCAAAAAAGGATTTAAAGACACTGCGATCTTTCTCATCCTCCAACTTGTAGATCGTTTTTAGCCATAAAATAAATGTGGAAGAATAAAGATTCTTATATCAGATTCAAAAAACTGGATATAAAATTTATATTGGTTTCTAATGATTTAATCTAGTATGAATATGTGAAATATAAAACATGAAATATTCTTATTTTTATTAGAAAAATGTCAAAAAGGCTCTGAAACCAAAATGTGAAAGTATAAGTTAAAATGTGTAGCTTAGGGAAAATGAAATCTAGCCTAAACACACACCTGCTGCACATATTGTATATATATGTTGAGTACTGTTTGCTTGATTATTTTCCACAATGCCATTCAAGCAGTGAAAGACAAGAGAAAAGGCAGCTAGACAACACCACTCATCCCCAACTCTCGGACTACTCTTTTGTCAATGAAAAGTGGGATTGACTGTCACATTATAACACCCCAACAGCTGAACAGGCAAGCACATTCAGGGACAGTATTTAAAATCACAACCCAAGAGCTGAGTGCTCTAACCACCAGGCCAAGAATACAAATGTGAAAGGTGAAGAAATTAGGTGTTTCCCTGGAGGCATGGACAGGAGACTTCAAGATACTTAAATAAGGCTTCAAATACTTCTCACTATTTTTAAAAATGTTTGTTGTTAAGCAAAAAGCTACAAAGTGAGCTATCTGTGCTGTGCCCCCCTCTACAGGTATTAATCCTAGTTTTTAGCATTATAAGCCTTCAGACTTCCCACTAAGGGGCTTTTTCAAGACCAAAAACCAACATAAAAAAACACCAATAATAGTAAATGTAAAATTGGGGAGGGTAAAGCATAATGATATGGCAAGAATAATCTAGATGATAAAAAAAGGGTTCTAATTTAAATAATGGTTTTAATCTTGTTAATGAATATCAACAACTGTGAAAAATTAGATCGTGTTTTAGAATGAAGAATGAATAAGCTATTGTTGACAATTAAATCATTTTGTGTACATATGTAAATATCTGAAAGACATTATAGGTATTCAAACACTCATCAATGATGCAGAGATTTGTGATTATCCTGGATTCCAAAGATAATAGAGCCAAAACCTGTGTACAATTAAAAGAAACTCCCAAGACATACTATTGAATCTGCATAAGAATGCAAGTGGCACATCCCATAAAACTTTCCTCAACCAATCAGTCCAATTTCATAGTAATTTTGATCAAATGAATCATTCAAAAAGAATAAGTTTGTATTCTTCTGACAAGGAATGATACTCTGCTACTTATTTTACTATTCTTTATATTACTGAATCCACAGTAAAGTTTCAGGTAATACAATACTAAAACACCACATGCACATATGTGTTCCACAGAATTATTTTTACTTCTGTGTTCACAGTATTATTATATGAATGATGCACAATAATTGCGATTTTATAAACTTGGACAGTTTTGAGTTCTAAGTGAAGGAATATTTAGCAAATGATCTGAACCTCAAAAATGTTTTTATATTTTATGGTTTTCCTTCAAATGTTCCTTCTTCATGGCTTATGAAATATGTATCAATGTAAATGGTTTAGGCCAAGAAAGATTTAAACTCAACTGTAAAAGACTAATAAATAAAAATTTTTGAGTTTCTGGTCCTTCCAATTCTTCAGTGTTAACTAACCTCATTTTTAGCCCATCCAAAACTATCTGTCAGTTCAGTTGTTGATGTTACTAAACTATTGCTTAGTAAAAGGCGAGAAAACAGCCTTTGAAGCTGAAGAGGAATAATTCGTGCTTTACAATTTCCTTGTTTATGACTGTCCAGGTTTCCTAATTCATCTTCATCAACCTGAAAAAGTCCTTCTGGAAAAAATACACACAATTCTTGTTAATTTTATTAGAAGCTAATTACCATATTGACTAATAGTACTATTAATAAAATCCATAATTAACAATGCAGATAAAAACTTTCTATTATCAATACATTTCAGATGTTTAGTTTTTAAATAACTCCAATAAATATCTAAACAATACCTTAATTTTTCCCAAGCAATCAGCTGTATATGTATATATATATATATATATATATAGTTTAAAAGGTGTATTTCCTCATACCTTAATAATATGCTTAGTACCTAATTTACCACAGATACAAGAAAGGGAACCTTTTAAGCTGACTACTAGTTAATTTCAGTTAAATATACATTTAGTCATTTGCTACAAAGTAGTTAAATTCAGTCCCCAAATGAACCATTCTTGATGCTCATGCACAAAATTCCATTACGAAAGAAAGGAACACGGATAAGTGCTTTCAGTAACAGGGCAAAGGATTCGTTGTTTGATAAGTTGATTTAAGATGGGAAGAAACTTTCCTTAAATTCTAATTTTGTTGAAGTTGTTTAGAAATTGTTTTTTGAAATTTCTTTACAGTCAAGCTCCTAAAACCTTAATCAAGTTTAGTAAACAGGTTGTTTTAAAAAAGTCATATGGTATAACTGCATAAAATTAACTATGTATTTTTCAATCCCATGTACATAAGACTTCTGGCTTCAGATTTCACATTGCATTGTTTTAAGAAAATAAAATTAAAATGAATTTTGAGGTAAGTAACCATTTTGTGTCATTGACATGATCATCATTTATTGTTTGTTTTATCTAAGACTAAATTTCTTGTTAACTTACAAAATTTTTAGCATTTGTTGGTTTTTCATGTGTAGATTTTTAAACAAATCAATAATGAAAGGTTTTTTATAACTTAGGCTCATATATGTGAAATTACCCATTTTGGAAGCCATTAAATAATTTTTGAAGAAAATATTTAAAATCAATTTGACACTAACTTCATAGTTAATCAAACTGGATAATATACCAGTTACTCACTATACACTATCAAGTAACTTTTTGGTATTGCAACACAATCATCATCTGGTTGGTAACATGGCTTTCAGAGCATTATTTGATGCTGAAATTCCATTAATTAAAACATTTCTTATTACAACTAAAAACTTTTCAAATACACACTTTTTTGCTAAAATTTTCATTTTACATGCACAAATAAATTTCAGAATAGTTAGAAATACGAAATGCAGTATGTTATAAAAGTTTCCACACTAATTTATGCAGATCTTAATTAATTTATCTTAATTAGAGCACTAAAACAAGGAAAATCAGTTCCCATTTCCAACTTTAACATCCTCCTCTTTAACAAACATCTCACTGGCAGCTTATCCAAATCTCTAACAATGTTAAACATTCCATTAATAATATCAACATAAAGACAACATAAATAAGGCCATATCAAAGTTTTTAGTAACAACATAACATGCAGACAATAAAGGACAATTTGTCCCTCAAGGGTGTCCTTGCATACTCAGTACTCACTCTTTGTAAAATTAAAAATTTAAACCCACCCATTACGTTTTTTGAAACCATTGATTCCCATCTTTAAACTCCTGTAAAGTGCTGGCTTCCACTAATGCTAATGGCAACTCATTCTAGAAGTGAATCAACCTATTAGAAAAATAAAATTTTCTTAACTGGAGCCTAGCATGTTGTTTACAAATTGTTTCCTCTTGTCCCACTATCTTCCAGATAAAACAAAACAAATCACAGGCCTTTATCCTATCAATCCCACTGGATAATATTGTAAACTTAAATAAGATCACCTTTTACCCATCTTTGCTTAGGAGAAAATAAAAGACCTTATCCTATCCCTGTAAGATAAACTTTATATTGCTAGAATCATCCTAGTAGCCCTTTCTGGACCCTTTTCAATGTCAATATCCTTAGATAAAGAGACATACAGTATACACAGCATTCCAAGTGAGACCTAAGCAGAGATTTGTATAGAGAAATTTCTCTCTTTTGATTTATAATCAATATATCTATAAATACACCCTTAAATTCTATAAACTTTACTACAAGCAATAAAGCATTGCTTCGGCGGCTTCAAGGACTTATCTACCACTACAGCAGTCATGGCAAGATCCTTTTCTTTTAGTAACACTTTTGAGTTAGTTTTCATCTATATTAAACGTTTTATTGAAATTATGGTAACACAAATGTATTACCTTCCAGTTACTATAGTTAAAAGGTTATTTTGAGTTAGTTTTCATCTATACTAAATGTTTCATTGAAATTATGGTAACACAAATGTATTACCTTGCATTTACTATAGTTAAAAGGTTATTTCCAATTTGTCAGTCATTTTGTAGTACCTCAACATCCTTAATACAGCTATAAATACTCACGTATTTAATGCCATCAGCAAACTATAATAATTTATTAATTATGCTCCTATCAATATCATTAAGTTAAATAAGAGCAAAATCCCAAGCACTGACCCTTCAGATACTCCACAATTAACAAGGGTCAAGTTTAACTTACTCCATTAATAATAAATAAATAACCTTTGCCTTCTTTATTCATCCATCCTATAGTTTAATCCACTAGTCTTTCCTTAACCCCTACTGGTTCAATTTTTCTTAGCTATTCTTTTGTGACATCTTATCAAAAGCTTTTTGAAAACCTATGTATAGTAAGTCTATACACACCCTTTCCTTTGTACAGGTAACAAATAACATCCTCAAAAAACAAAACAAAAAACAGATTAGTAAGAAGAGATTTTCCTGTGGTAAATTCATGGTGTCATATTTCAATAAATGATCTTGTAAACCTTTCTAGAATTTTCTTATACAGTAGTAGGACTAACTGGTCTATAATTTCCAGAGTAACTATTATTGTACCCTTTAGGAAATAGAAATAGTTAGCACTTCTTCAATCCTCAAGTTCCTGCCCACTCTATACTGACCTACTGAAAATGAGAGTAAGATTTGTGTATCTGATTTTTGATCTTCATAATCCTGTGGAAAGCTTTTTCTGGCCCTAATGCTTTATCTACCTTTAACATCTCAATATTTCTACTTACCATTAAGGGATTAATGTCTACATGTTTAGGCCTATTCCAATACTTCTCACAAAATGTTCAGTATTAGGAAGAATACTCCTAATATCTTCTCTGATAAATACAGAAGGAATCCATTAAAAATCTTAGCTATCTCATAATCTTCCACAATAACCCTTAAATCAGCATCCTTTAAGAACCCAACTCCTATGCTATACACTTCTCAATATATTATATTTCATGTTCTTGTCTATTCACTATCAAAAATTAAGCAGTTCCTTTTGAATAAAAAAAAAACCTACAGAATCAGACTTTCCCATGTTTTTAGTTCAACTAGCAAACTGGGAAATATTCCTGCCCTAGTTGTGTATTTAACTATCCACTTAAAATTCCATATGACATCTCCATCTATGTACTTTTTTGGTTTGAATAACAGACTTTCTAAAAGTCTTAGCTTCTCTCAGTTCCAAGAATTGCTCGGGATGCCAAGAAATCTATTTTGGCCAGGATTTCAACAAGAGACATTCAACACACACTAGTAGTTTTAAGTTTATGTTTTAGCAACTGAGTATCCAAAGTTCAACTGGAAAAAAAACCTTTAATCTGACCAATTACTTGACAAAAGTCTGTGCATATATGTGTTTGTGTCCACTTAAAACTGGCCAACCAATAGACCAACTGTTTCCAAACCTGATGTGTACCCTTATGGCCTCCCAGGGAATGAGGAGTCAGTTTTCAGGTCTGACCCTCCCTATGTAATCTCTTGGGACCCTGTGTCTTCCCCTTGTGTTGAATGGGTATGTTGGATAGTACATATTTCAATGACTTCAAACTAAAACCATCATAAGGCAAATCATTCAAAAAATTCATAATTGATACTCTTCTTTAAAATTTTCATTTGCAACTCCTAATTCTAGTACTCTTCTCTTTCAGTGAAAATAAGTTCACAGTTTTTTTAAAGTATATGGGATACCTCTAGTACTTACATTAAGAGTTCACTTTTAACTTCATAGCCAGTTATTAAAACCAGGAATGCTTCTACATTTCTGGTGACCCTTCTACATACTCCAATAATATGGTTCAATATTGTTTTAACATTAATTAGCAATAACTTGATTGATATAAATAAATGAACCCTTATATTCCATACTTAAAAATAAATCAACAAAATTCACACAAATATATACCTCGAAACTCTGGTGTAAATAAGAGAGTCTGAAGTAAAGAATTCAAATAACAAGTAGCTCCTTGGTTTTCAATTCCACACAATCCACAAGGAGGACGAGGTGGCACTGGTTTTAATATACCCAAGCAGGCTACTTTTGAGTCTCCCTTTGTAAAGTGTCTGTTTTCCTCTTCAAACAGATTCCCAAACATATTAATCTGAATAGTGCTTCAATTTTATACACTATATATTGTTTATACGAGAGAACTTGATGATTCCAGTTAATGTTGACTTGTAGTTATACAATTTACAATCAAGGCACTTGTGACTTTCTACTCTATTGATAATATATATCAAAGTTCTAGCACTTTCACCAATTTATACATCGTATTTATTATCACAATATCATTTCTGTACTAGAACTACTTCAAAGAACTTGTCTTCTAATCCTGTGTATTAGTGACTATTACCGTATGGCTTCTTAACTAAAGCACAACTTCAAACTTGGATTCAATTTCAGTTGACGTTGGTTGTTTTTGTTTTTAAATATAGTGACCCTGCACAGGTACACTAAAAGTGATAAATGATCAACATCGACGTTATACGTCTACCTCAAACTATGTCATTGCTTTGTGAATGAAACGCAAGTAACTATCCATACCATATCACGAACAATTTCATTTCACATTATCAACAACAACAAAAAAAAACAAAAAAAAACGGAGCGTCTCTCAAACATTCAACGTCAAACTATATTATTGAAGTTTCGTCACATCATATTTTGATTTTTATATGTACTTAAAATTATACTAGAACATAACTGTTCCTTTTAATTGAATAAACAAAATACTAAGACCAAAGATAATTCTAATATTTTATAGTAAAAATAGAAGATTTTGAACTATCACGACATTCGTACTTCGTACATACAGGTAGCACTACCTTTTATTTACCATTACTCTCTTAGCACCACGAGGCCCTAGTAGTGTGTTAATATGGGGTTAACTATTGACAGAATCCTGTCTGCAACGCATAACAAAAAGACTATTGACACGAACTGTGTACAGTGTATTCACGAAATGAGAAAAGCTGCAAATAAGCGAAACAATTTTAAAACAAGGAGAATCATTTTTGTGGCAATGTGACTAGAGTTTTTCTTAAAGTGTTACATACCATTTCTTAAATACACACACAAATAAATAAATAAAGCTAACCTAATACTGAATAAATATTCCTACTTATTTCCAAAACAGTAAACGTGTAAATATATTTTTAGATACTTGTTTGTTTGTTTGAAATTAAGCACAAAGCTACACAATGGGCTATCTGTGCTCTGCCCATCATGGGTATCGAAACCCGATTTCTAGCTTTTTAGATACTAAATCAATACATCTTCATTCAATTTCTATGTTTTTCTGTACTTAAAAAAGATCACCCGCGATACCATGAAGATAACAGTAAGATTAAGAAATGCTGAAAGAATTAAGTGTGAGTAAAGTTTATTCGGATGTAATAAACGTAGCAAGTGTAAATATGCAATGGACTAAAATAAAACGTCGCTACAACCAAGACCGAACAAACAAACAAACAAAAACAATTTATCAAACTGTAATAATAATAGAAATCCAAAATAAAACTGTTAAACAATTGAAATTCGAGTTTTTTATTACTTTATGGTTGGCAAAATTTGCTTTTAGAAATGTTTAAATTAAGATTAGCAGTACAAAGCTTGTAGAAAGTCAACTCAAGGTCTCTCAGGTGTTGTTCAAATGTAGGTGAGAACTCCATAATATCATCAATATCAGCCTTGGAAAATTCAGTTGCACCTGCTAAAGCTTTATACATAAGTCTTTGGAATATTTCAGATGCATTTTTCAGAGCAAAAGGCATCGCTTTAAATTGATAAAGTCCATTATCAGTTGGCAGTGGGTGTAGTACATTAGATGCTTTACCTCTAATGTATTAGTTGAATATTAGATGACTATGTGCAGATAGCCTTTAGTGTAACTTTGCGAGAAGATAGTAAAACAAACTATATATACACACGAATATGACTGTTTTTAAAATAGCATATATCTGAAGATAAATTTATACCCAGTGCTTAATTTCTAGAAAATAAAAGATAAAAGACTTCTGTCTAAAAATGGGGAATTTTGGAGTTTAAGAAGATAAGAATTTAAACGGCAGCTAATGTGGCAGGGCTGGGGGGTATTGTAACTGACTACTTGAGTCAAATATCACTTCTGAGTGTAGACAAAACAGTCTTAAAATTAAACTTAGTGTTTCCGCCTTTAGATTTTGAAAATATCCAAAACATATTATGAATCTGAGAGTCAACAAAAATTAATTGTTGTTTATACTTTAAGTGCAGTATAAGTAGCCCCTGTCTACATTTTTTATAAAGTTAATTGCCTTTCCGGATATCGTAAAGTCTCAACTCGTGTTGTTTCTTACAAGTTATCGTATTGCTGGGATTGTGGCATAATCTGATTATCCTGAAAGTGATGAGATATATCTGTTGAATAACAGAAGATTTGACAAGATATTGTTGCGTCATCGAGATCACGTGACAATTCTCGCGCTATCTTGTTTCTAGAACTATCATGTACTTTGGCGAATGTTCTACTTCTTGCTAGAAATAGGTTAC